GTAATAAGGTTAATCGATGTTGTACGTTACGAGCCTTAAGTTATTTGAGAAAAGGTTGCTGGAGGGTCACTCTTCAGTAATCTGATTGCTTAGTGTGTTACCCTTAGGGTGACATACGACGTAGTCACTCTCAAATCATAGTCTCTAGTGCGTCAGAGATTGCAAACACACTAAAAAACACTTCTTCCGTAAAAGATTCAAAACAAATATCAAAGTGTCATTTTTGTTCGCTTGGACTCTTAATCAAGAAAAACCCTTTTTGAAGGTAATAAAAGACAATCAGACAAGCTTGTGTCTTCCGTAGCCCGAACTACGTTTGCTCTGATCTTTCATGCTGTATGAAAGTACGTAGGCATAGGATGCGATATCCTAGCGAGCAACCTTCCCCTCCTTTCTCGTAGGTAGGCGAACTACGTTGACTCTGATTTCTCGTTCCAGACGGGAATACGTAGGCATAAAGTGCGATACTTTGCCGAGTCATTTTCTTTTCTTTTAACCCCAGACCTGTAGAATAGATAGAATAACAATCCGTACTAGAAAACAAGCGTGGATCCCGTCGAGTACGACAGACGTGAGGGGTGCTAATACCTTCCCCTTGCGTAACCGACTCCCGAATCCAGGATTTGGTTGCGATGACCATTCCTTTCCCGTCTTTGCGGTAGGTTTACTTCGAGCGTTTCCTTTCCCTCCGTTGGGATAAATAACGCACGGTGGCGACTCTTCTGTTCAGCCGGCGCCGATTTTCGCAGTAGCGACACCATTAGTGCAGAATCATGTTTTACCAAAATTTAGCCAATCATAGAACCATAGACACATGGTACTAACAAAGAGAGAGAATTGAGTGTAGACTTCTTCCTCTCCGAGTATCAGGATATTCATTGTAGTGTGGGTGGTCTTGATACTCGTCTTTCAATACGAAGACGCTACGTTTGCCACACCATTTTGTAACAAACAACTTTGAGATAAAGAATTGGGTACTACTCGCAAGGGGTTACTATCCGAGGATCTACCACACCCCTAAAAAAATCAAATCAAACGTGACATCTTGTCTTGCATGGCAAAAACCTAATCATTTAAAAAAGGATATGATACGTTCGTTCTACCGCAAACAGGTAACGCTTAAGTCTCCTTACATGCGAGTAGCAAAACACCTAAACTGCTAGAACGCGCACGATAACATCATCCATAAAAACATTAACAAACCGTAGGCCGAACTACGACTGCTCTGATTCTTTACTTCTTCATGTAAAGATACGTAGGCACAAGGGCCACAATCCTTGTCGAGCACACTCCCCCTATATTTGTAGTTCCCCGAACTACGTCGACTCTGACTTTCTCACATCCGTTGAGAATACGTAGGCCTAGGACTGCGAAGTTCTATCGAGTCTGTTCTTTCTCCTTTCATCCCCGTTATCTCCTTTTCCCCGTTTCTAAACCCTTCTTTTACCAGTGGAACACTCTTTTTATAGCATAATATTTAAACAAATAAATTCACACGTCGATAAACAAAGGGTTCCCATCGAGTACGATGGATGCGAGGGATGCTATTACCTTCCCCTCGCATAAACGGCTTCCGAACCCGTTCTTGGTTGCGAGACCATCTTATCCGCTCGTTACTTAAGGTTTTCTCGATATTTTCCTTTCCCCTCGTGGGATAAATAAAGTTCGGTGGCGACTCTTTTTTCTATCTTTTTCGCCTCTCCGTCGTTGCGCGATGCATTTTTCGAGTAGCGATAAATATTCAACATTATGCTCTACAATTTTGGCTGCAGTCGTCTTCCTCTTTCTGAATTTTTTTTATCACCATCACCAAATAAAACATAATTTCTTTCTCTTGTCATGTGTCTAGAGAAACTACTAAAATATTAATCTTCACAAGAAGATACCTTGAGGGAGTACAAGAAATATGAACAAGAACATTAGGAATGACATGCCAAACTTGTAGATGAAGCATTTCAAACTTCTCTTTCCACTGAAGATACATATGTTGATGATTTGTTTCTCTACCATATAATTTATAATAGTATGGTAGAATGGATTAAAAAAAACTAGTGCGTTGGTAATAATGTTTGACAAGATGTTGAGACTTGTTACCTAACATTGTGGGTTATGTTTTTTGAATAGGAGTAACACATATATTCTTTAAATTAGATGGCTCACCGGTATATCTAACACCTTTCATGTCTTTTATATGAGTAGTGAAAGTCACAAAATTGTTTGCTTGATTAGATCCACTTTCTTCATTTATCTTATCATTAGTATCATTATAACTTTTTCTTTGTTTCCTTAGAAAACTTGAGCATTCAACTTGAATATATCCAAAACCTTTTCATTTAAGACATTAGATCCATTTGCCTCTATAAGAACAACTGATATTTTATCTTTCATCATCTTTTCCTTTACACTAAGAGTTGCACCTCTTGAAATTGTATTGCTGGTTATCTTTGACATTGGTATAGACATTATTCTCATATCTCATGTCTAGTCATCTCATGACATTTCTCAAGATTTTAGAAAGCATGAGATTTTCTTTAGTATCATATTATTCTTTGTCTTCCCAATCATCATAATTGTCTTCAACTAAAATTTTTGGAGGATTCTTAGTACCATCAAGAACCATTGGTCAATTAATTGTTCCTCTTTATTTGGCATTCTCCATCTTGAATAGAATAAGAATCCTGGAACACACCCAAGCAAAACAGGGGGACAACTCTGATGCCAATTGAAATTTTGTTCTTCAGATGATAAGATGTCATACACAACGTGTGGGATAATGCGTATGATAAGTTTAATACATAACAAAGAGAAAGGAAAAATAAAATTCACAAGGGAATTGTTAACTCAGTTCAGTGCAAAGTCACCTATGTCTGGGGAGTATTCACTCAATGAAAGGAAATTCAATCTTAATAGTCAGAAGTACAATTGAATTTACTCAAAGTCTCCCAATTCACTGTCGCTTTCCTAATACTACTCGTGAATTTCTACCTAGGACTCCTTATAGAAAGAACTCTACTCTTAATAGTCAGAAGTATAAATGGTCTTATCTGAACTCCCTTCGTCCAATGCCGCTTTCCTAATACTATCCATGAACATCCGATCAGGCTTCCCTTGAATCTGAATCTGAGACACCTACCACTTTCAATGGAGCACCCTCCCAAGTGTTTATTCAATAACAGAGTGACTGAAAGATAGATTAATGGCGCACACACACACACAAATACTCTGTTCTCGAGCTTATAGAATTAGTATCTAGGAACAAATTATAATAACCTACAAAAATAATAGTCAACTAAACATTCCTAAAGAGTAGATATTTTCTTTGAAGTTCTAAATCTTCACACAAGAGATGAACTCCTTAAATAGATAATTTGATTCAAAATTTCAAAGCCCATTAGGGTTTGCATTCTTCTCGTGCAGTTCAATCATTAAAGAGTGCACACACCAATATCATGTTATGATGATTTAAACTTGATTGGCTGTTTCCAAAATAAAATTACAAACCTTCAAATATGATTTGCAAAACCGATTATGATAAAACTTACATATATTAGAAAGTGCATATATAAACAATTTTGTCATTGCACAAATAAGGAAATAACTCCATAACAGACAGGAGAAATATTCTAACAACTTGTGTGCTAAGAAACTTCAGACATCTAAGATGTCACACAAATCATGGAACATTTTGCTTGACATCTTACCACGTAAAATAACTCTTAATCTTGAACAGATCAAATAAAATATTTACTCGATATAAATTTTAATTCCAACTTCTCGAGTAAAAATTCAGAATAAAAATTGTTAGTTATATCAAATTCAATCTTGTTGAATCTGGTTCACATAGAATATTCCTTTAAATCGAAAGGCACATAATCAATCAAATCTTTGATTGGATATAAAAGGAAAAAAAATCTCTTTTAAATAAATCAGCTTCGAATCTTTTAAATAAATCATATCCAATTTAATTTCATTATCCAAATAAAATCTTTTCCAAACTGATTTGATTTATGATTATTCTTCAAGACACAAACTTAACAAGCTTTTGGAGGAATTAAAATCCAAACAAATCTTAAATAACATATGAAAAAAATCAGAATCCAATCAATACAACACACAAACAAGAATGTCACACAACATATTCAAGACATATTACTCAACAAATTTCTACTGAAATTAACCAATCACTTGAAACAACAAACTCCCGCAAACATATAGCACAATCTGAACAATACATGTGTTAGGATGTCACATAACATATCAAGACAACTTGCTAAAAAAGTTGTCCACAAAAATTAGCCAACCTTGAAATAACAATTTAGAGAAAGTCACATGTATAAATAGGGACTAAATTTTTTGATGGAGAGGTTTCATGTGCATGCACTCAATAGCGAGTTTCAACCATATATATATATATATATATATATATATATATATATATATATATATATATATATATATATATATATATATATATATATATATATATATATATATATATATATATATATATATATATATATATATATATATATATATATATATATATATATATATATATATATATATATATATATATATATATATATATATATATATATATATATATATATATATATATATATATTGTTTTTTTTTGTTTTAAATTAAAAAATCCTTTTGTGGCGTGATTTCTCAAAGTGCCACCTACTCCAACGAGAAAAACATGGTTCACAAGATGCCACATCAACAGATTTTATAGGATAAGTTAAGCTCAGCCACATTTATTTAACAGGATTAAAATCAAATATCATAATTTAAAATTTTTAACAAACTTGCTCAAGACTTCATTTATTTCAACAGTAACAATTATAAATAATATATAGTTATAAGAAACAATACAACTAAAACTATGCAAAAATAATGTAAGTTAATGATTTGATCAGGGAAGGGACATATTAAACTAATAAGAGGTGATAAATTCAACTCCTCAACCATTAAAACTACAATTGACATTTATCATTTTAAAAAATACAACTAAAAAGGACACATGCACTTAGAGCTAATGTTGTTGATTTAACTACAACAGATAGTGGCATTCTTCCTTTGTCTTTCCTTAAGAAAAGTCCTTCATAAATAGGTATATTAATAGCAACCAAAATTCCACTTAGTAAAACTTGCAATAACATTGTCTCAAATACCCTAAAACCTTCTCCACTTAACACAACCACCTTTACCAACATCCCAACAAGACAAAACAAATTCAGCATTGCAATTGTAGCCAACAAAGTGAGCATAGGAGAAGAGTTTCCAAACTCCATAATCTCATTCTCATATCTTTGAGAAACATTTTCCTCAGCTACCTTAGTAGATACTATGAATCCTGAATTTGAAAATCCTATAAACTTCAACATGGTGTCAACAAAAGCAAAAAGGTAAGAACTTGTTCTTTTATATAACCACATCCTTAAGTCATTCCACCAACCCTTGATTGTTCCTCCTACCCTCAAAAACTCTATCAAACAGTATGTTGAATCACTAACTATCACATAAGCAAAAGGGATGAACCATGGACTTGAAATCTGATCATTATCACCAAAACAAAACTTAGAATAACATTTGTAGAAATTATAAGACATTTGATGCATCATTTACTTGTGCGTGTCAGAATGTATGAGTTTCATAGATTCATTCTTACCTGTGGAAACAAAGGAATGCCTCTGAGGAGAAAAAGTGAAGGGATGATGCAATAATATAGAGTTGGAAAGGAGTTTAAAGCCCATAAATTATAGTGACAATATGCAAGTTGAAGGCCTGGACTTATTAATCCATAAGGGTACCAAAGAGGACTGAACTTAGAAAGCACAATTTGAAAACCTCCTTCTGACCATCTCTTATGTTGAATAAGTGCTTCTGGCAATGTGGTTGGAGACAAACCTAAAAAAGCTTTTCTTGTTGGACTATAGCATACTGATTTCCATCCTTTGCATAAAATAGATAATCCTGTCACTATATCCTCCACTGCACAATCATAAAGTAGTCCCATCTGCAATCAAATATTCACACGTCGATTAACTTAATATCACAGGTTAGAGAAGCTCTACATCTCCACCCAAAATCTTAAGGCATTAGATATATAGGTCCTCGTTTATAAATCGAACATTTCAACTGAATTAAAATGTATTTAAACATTAATTTGAATGCGAGTGCGACCTCTTTTCCCCATGATGTGTTTTCCTCATAGGCACAACTTGCAAGAGTCTTTGATTTTTCTTCAATCTCTTGCAAACTCGCTTCTATCATATGGTTAATATTTTCATCATTTGCGTTGTTGTTCCAATCCTTTCTGGATTGTTTGTTAAACTTTCTTCCGCAGAGTACATCTCTTCTATGAAAGCAGCCAGTTCCAATATACATGGGCCCACCAAATCCATCTACGCCAAACATTTCAACCTACATATAGTTTTGTGAATATTCAAATCATTGTAGTATCATCTAGCATTATTAATAACTGATTTACCTCATGAATTATAAACAAAGCACCACCGTATATGTCATTTTTTGTGAGGTTTTCAAAGTTCTGAGGAGCCTGCACATAGGCAATTTCATGGCCTTTATCTTCATCCATGAAGAAGCAAAGTGCATCTCTTAAAGATTGCGAATTGTTTGAGTACATGTCACAATCTACATTCAGAATGATTTTCCCATTGCTGATCATTGATGACACTCTTATCTGCATTGAGGAACCAACAATTAATCATGATAAAAAAAATGGTTTATGTATATAAAGTAACATTAACATAGAGTACCAAAGAATTCATGGCTCCAGCTTTGAAGTTATGTGGAAAGTGAGGTCTCTTTTCACGAGCCAGATATACTAAGGTGGGCATAACAATTCCATCTTCATCTCTTGCATTCAAGTCATTTTTATCAACTAGAATCTATATCAACAAATTAATACAAACCAACTATTAGTTATATATTATCTATCACAACTACGCAAAATTTACCTTCCAAAACTGGACGGAACCATAATCCTTATTTTTTAAATAACACATATATTAAAAAAAATATAGAGAGAAATGATATTTTTACACTATTTTTTATCCCTGCACCGTATTTAACTGTTCAACAATATTAAATATATCTCTTTTAGAAAATATAAAAAATTAACTTTTTTTATTTTTAAATTATATAATACTGATATGATATTGTGTGATTAACCAACTTCATAATTTTATTAACCAACACTTTACATGTTATTAACCAACTTTATTTATTTTTAAAAAATATTTTTAATATCTAAAAATTTATTAATTAACTTTATAATTTTAATAACCAACTTTTTACTTTTCATTAACCAATTTTGTTTTACTACTAAAAACTATTTTTAATATCTGAGCGTTTATTAACTAATTTTATTATTTCATTAATCAACTTTTTATACTTTATTAACCAACTTTGTCCATAAATATATTATTTTATTAAAAAAACTATATTGTTCACCGTATAAATACGGTGAACAGTGCATACGGTGTAAGTATTGGTGTATGAATAGCATTGCTGAAAAAATATATATAAAATTTGACAATTTTTTTTATTTAAAATATAAATTATTTTTCTTTTTCGAAAACTCATTGCTCTTTTTTTATTTAAATTTATCTTGCGTTATAATTGATTTTTTATTTTAATATTAATTAAAAAATATTTTATTTTTTTTTAAATATATTTTTATTTGACGTTATTTTTATCATTTTGTATTTACATATTCTTCTTTTCTTTCATTTTTTATTCACTTTTTCTCTTAACAAACTATAAAAAATTCCCTTCACTTTCTTAGCATTTTCATTCTTCCAACATCTCTCTCTTACTTTATTTCCTTTCATTTTATAATTTCTCGTCAAAGTAAAGCCTGAAGAACAGTTAAAAAAAAAAAAACTCTAAACCCAAAAGAATGATGAAAAGTTCCATAAAGCTAGATGATTGATTTCAAATATGAAGATATTTCAAGCTACCGGAAGAAGATATACATACTTGAAGAATTGTGTCATGATCACGCTTAGACGAATATGAATCCCACTGAGAAAACTCGTTATGATTTGAGTATTCTTCTTCTGGTACTTTTCCAAGCTTCGATGCATTTTCTACTCGACTTTCCATTTCTTGGTACAATTTCTATAACCAACAAGATACAAGTATCATACATAATAAGAAATTGAATATATTCATACATAAATTTGAAATATACTAATAGAATAATGGAGCCAACACACAAATTGTTACCTTGATGGCCAAAAGCTCTTTAGCATTATTTGAGTCAGTAGTGTCTAAGGTCTTGAAATATGCATTTGGTGACCTAGGTTCAACTTTGAATCTCTTGCAAAATGGTAACCAATGTTTGGCAAATTCAGAAGCCTCTAACATAGCATAGAATGTTATTTCTGATCCACCATCATCTGATAGATACACACTAAGCTTCTCTGTTGGATAATCATAAGCCATCACTGATAACACTGTGTTGACCACCATCATTGGTGGCTCAATCTCTGGATCTGCAGTACACACAAATATATCCACTTTTGGCAACACTTTCTCGTATCTGCTTCGCAACATGCACACTTATTAATCACCGACACTAATACACTTGGACAAAATTTCGAAAAAAAATGAAATTGAACATAGTAACAACATGTGTCGATGTCGTGTCTATGTCTGATACCGATATATATAGTGATATGTGTCTTTCAGAAACGTCAGTGCTACAGAAAAAAATATATATACCTTTGAGAGAGTACTTGAGGTAAGGGTTGTCTGAAAATAGGGTTCCATCTAAGGTTTTGACGAAGGAACCAATAAAAACCAAACCATAGTTCAGCAAAAAGCAATCCAATCCAAACAATCCAGTTTCCATCTTCAAACTCTTTGGATATGTAACTCAATCTGTAAATCCAAATAGAGCAAATCCCAACAAACACTGAGAAAGAAAATATTATGAAAATGAACCTTCCACTACCTTTTCTTGTCTCAAACAATGGATAATACTCTTCTTTTGCCATCAATGTTAACTATTGAACTTTGCTCCACTTGTTTCTTCAATTGTCTATATTATTAGAATTAATGGCATATGCTATTTTTATAATATGATTGGTCTTTTATTAAAAATAATAATAATAATGCATTTCTTGTTTCTGATATTTTGTTTTTACATGTGTGTCTTTGTCACCCAAAAAAAATATCTTCACTACATTTTCCAGCACCCAGGACCCATCCTTTGTTCTATTATTATAATGTAATATATTTTTCTTTTGTACTATGAATTTCCAATCATAAGAACTACTCTATATATAGTTTGCAATTTTGCAACTTGTGAATCATAAATATAAACATAAGAATAATCAAGTCTTATCTCATTAATTGAAGTTGACTATATAGATCAACTTTCATTGTAATATTTTATTCAAAGCGTCATGCTTTTATCTAAACTATTAATTTTGTATTAAACTAATTGTATTTTTTGTCAATTACTTAGTTATTTAAATTTAGTTTACTTTGTTACCTAGAGTCTCAAGGAAATTCAATAGATGACTAAGTCAAATGTTTAAAAGCAATATCATACTCAAGTTGTATTGTGGTATTTGTAGCAGTGTGAGCAACTAGAAGATCATTATTCTTCTTCATTGATTCTTCATTTGAGCTTCAACAATGGAGGCTCATAGTCATGACACCTCCTCCATAACACAAAAGAACAACATGATACACAATAACACTAACAATCAGAACAATTAAAAAACCAAAAATCAATCCACAATGAATTTAACCTTTGATCATGCCAGCCCATACTATCTTCATCTTGCCGAAATTTCTGGTGCAGTCCTTATTTCTCCATTTTTAACAAAAAAACAACTATGAGTCTTAGAGTCGTTTGATGAAAATATTATTTTTGAGCAAAAACAAGATCAAATTCATCAATAATAAACTCACAACACCTTAAGAAGACGATCCTCTCTTCGCGATACATAGGAAAGATACAACAACATTGTACTTTCTTTGATATTTGCATCCCTCTCACCTAAGACTGAGACTGCTTAAAGCACCATATATGCCGACAATGCAACCCAACTATGAATGTATCTTCAAGATCGGTTCTAAAAAAGTGATCATTTTTTCTTATTCGATCTTCAGCAACAAATTCATTCCATGCGCCAATGTGAAAAATCGATAACTGCATATTTTAACGATTTGAAGACTCTTTAGAAAGGTTTGGAGTCCCTTAGAATTCTCGCAAATTGCACATCCGGAGTTCATCTCACCATCAAGAAGCAACGAGATATAGAGTATGTCATCTTTTTCTTGAAAGGTCTGAATGACAAATTCAACTAAGTCAAATCTCAAATCCTCATGGTCTTCAACTAAGTCAAATCTCAAATCCTCATGGTCTTCAACTAAGTCAAATCTCAAATCCTCATGGTCGAGCCTCTCCCTGATGTCACAAAGGTTTTTTCATCCATCCTGCAACAAGAACGCCAGTTAACTTCTCCTATCACTTTTAAATCTTCCAAGATTCTTATGACAAACACAAACAACTCTCAAGCTAATGGAATTTCTAATAAAAAACAAGGAAAAGATTGTGGTAAACCATGTTTTTAAGGAAAGACTTCATTCAACTTCAAAATGTGTTCCTTCAATGGAAAAACTAGCCACATTCTTGCCTGCTACTTCAAACACGTATTTCCATCGGGTTTCAAATTCAAAGATAGGATCAAATTCTCCAAAAATAATATTAATGCATGTGATGAGGCTCATTCTCCAGCTGCAAATAATGTTGAACTTCCTATCAACAAAGTAGATATCACTCCTGAATGTACAACAAGCTGATAACACTGCTCAACAAGATTGAATCATCACCTAATTTTGATCCTCACATCATCCATGCATAATCTTTAGGTTTAATTCATCATTCAATCCATGTCACAAGTAGTTCTTTGAACAATAATTGGACCATTGATACAGGTGTAATTGACCATATTTGTCCCTCTCTTAATCTCCTATATTCTCATCATGATATTTCACTAATTGTTATCAAATTACCTAATGGATCACATATTTAATCTACAACCTTTGGAACTATTAAATGAGTGACACTTTAACCATATACAATGTTCTTTTTTTTCCCGAATTCAATTGCAATCTTATTTATGTATGTTTATCACTACTAGAAATGTTTTGTTTTTCTGCATATTTACCTGCGGATTTTGACAAAATTTTCGCAGGAAACATGTTACCTGCGATTCATCCTGCAATTTTTGTTTGCAGCGAAAACCTCTGTGGTAAATAATTTAGCGGGTAAAATCGCAGTAAAAAATCGCAGGAAAAAATTGCAGTAGAAAGTTGTAGGAAAGTGTCGCAGGTAAAACAGCTAAATTCGCTGGTAACACCGCAGGTAATTTAAACTTTTGCAGGAAAAGTCGCAGCAAATTGAAAATCCGCAGGTCAGTTCGCAGGTAATTTCTCTCTCATGTTTTTAATTTTTATCATTAATTGTGTTTAATTCATATTTAAAATAATATAATTAATGTTAAATATCAAAGTAACAATAATATAAAAATAAAAATCTAATTTGAATTAGTCAATGCAACACTAATCACATTCAAATTTTTAAAGTTAATAACAAGTACTTCTAGAGCTACATTACTAAAAATGACATAATCAAGTTACAATCACTTGTCCAACCAAATTAATAAGAAAAAAGAATGCAATTTCAAACTAGTTAACAAGAAAAAGTAATCCAAATCAAAATTCACTACTAATGTGTTCACTAATGTCTTCATCTAATTCATCAACATCATCTTCACTTGGATTATCAATTTCATTATTGGCTTGAGGTGGATGAGAAGAAGTCGCAGCAAATCCTAAATAAGCACTTGATTATTGGCCTGAGGTGGACGAGATAGATGAATCTAGAACATCAACATCAGTAATCATATTTCAATCTTGCATATTAGTGCTAGTGACAATTAAGCCAGACAAGATCCACCTTAAAATATTAGAAGGAAGGGTATCTTTGAAAAGAGCAAGAGGAAGTTATAACATTCTCAATGGATCAGCAAGAAACAAAGTCATAGAATTGCTAACAGAATGCCTTAGACAAGTCAATCACAATAATATTAAATTTCACCCAGCAGTTTGTAGAAACATTCCATAATGAATCTGCAATTTGGCTTATTCGAAGGATACTCTATTCAAAATCAGATAACATCAAAAATCTGGCAACCAATATGATGATACAAACTCCAACTATGTCTTTACTAGAATACAAATAGCTAATAAGAGTTTGTAGGTCTCTAGTACTGAACTCATTTAACATTATAATAGTCAGACAAAAAAATTCCATAGAGCAAGAGCCGAGTTTCATCCTCAGCAGCCACAAACTAAACATATCAAGCAATTGGAAGCTCACCACATTCATTGATAATCACATTCTTTAGTGGATGATCACCGCGATCGGTGTCTTGCGATTCAATCAATCTAACGATGTCCATGCCTTCCAAAACGTGGCCAAATACAACATGTTTCTTATCAAGCCATTATGTCTGCCAATCAAAACCAAACATAAGATATGAATTGAAAGTAAAAAATGTTGAAAATGAGTACCTTGACAGTGCATATGAAAAACGGACTCCCATTGTGATAGGGAAGAGAGGGAGACTATATAGAGAGAGAAAGAATAGAAAGTAGAGATGAGGAAGGAGTATTTCATTTATTCAACAAAAGCATACATTGAATGGTTATTTTCTAACTATATATAATTGTCTAAGCAGTAATAACAACTCAATAACAACTAACAATAGTTGTATACACTAATACATGCATCATATCCCGCCCCTTGAAATCTTCCTTGTCCTCAAGGAAAAGATGTAACATCAAAATAAGGAAACTGGAGCTTGAGTTTTTATAGCAGCTCCCAAGTAGCCTCTTCCATAGCCTCCCATTTCCACTGAACCAAAACCTCAATAACTGCCCTATTTTGTCTCTGAATCGAGCGCCTCTTCATAATCTTAAATGGCTCCTTAGGATCATCCAAACTTCCCCATTCTTCAGGAAGTGCAACCACAGGAATGTTCGCATCAGGACACAGTTTCAAGAGAAATACATGGGATGTAGGATGAATCTGCGAAGTAGCTGGGAGAATTAACGTGTATGCAACTTTTCTCACCCTATGTAGCACCTGATAAGGACCATAAAAACCGAGGAAAAAGCTTTTCGGAAGCATGATATTGAGCAGAAGATTGTCTATAGGGTTCTAACTTTAGGAAAACCCAATCTCCTTCCTTGAATTTCTGATCACTACGATGCTTATCAGCCTGCCGCTTCATACGTGCTTGAGCCCGAACCAAGTTACCTTGTAATTTCTGGATCATCTCCTCCCTTACAATGAAGCTTCTATCTACCGCCTCAACCTTGGTACTTTGAGGGTAATAAGGAAGATGCAGAGGGGGTGCTTGACCATAAACAATCTCATAGAGGGTAGCTTGAATAGCAGAATGATAAGTGGTATTGTACCACCACTCAGCCAAAGGTAACCAATTGACCCATTCCTTAGGCTGCTGCCATGTCATAGCCCTCAAGTAATGTTCTAAGCAATGGTTCAAGACTTCACTTTGACCATTCGATTGAGGGTGGTAGGCTGTTGTTAAGCTCTGAGAAATGCTCAATTGACCAAGGAAAGAACCCTAAAATTTACTTGTAAACAAGGGATCTCGGTCACTCACAATGTTGGCAGGTGCACCATGTAATTTGTAAATTTCAGAAATGAAAATTTCAGCCAATTTTGATGCACTAAAAGGGTGAGCAAGAGGGATAAAATGGGCATATTTGCTCAGTCTATCAGTAACTACCCAAATCGTGTCTTTACCATGATATTTAGGAAGCTTTTCAATGAAGTCCATGGCTATACTTTGCCACTCTCCCTCTAGAACTGGCAGGGGCTGAAGTAAACCAGCAACAGCACTAGGTTCATACTTGCATCTAAGGCAAGTCTCACATTGTTGAATAAACT